ATCATCACACAAGGAAAGCACTGGGAAGATCCGTTCTTTTGGAATGGGGTCATGGATTATCGCACAGAGTCTGGTACTGTTCATATCGGACTATCTACCGCATCAACAAATCTCATGTGGATGGCGTCGGTAGATAGCAGCGCTCTGCAAGGTATAAAGCCCTCTGTCTGTTCTCTGCCTAGTTTTTTTTTTTGACTGATCTGGTATGTAAATAGTTTGGAACGACATCCATATCGAGATGGTTGTCCACGCTCCCACGGAATCATCGGGGACCTTGATTCGACTGATCCGCTCCTTGGATGCAGCGGACTACCTGGGATCGACCCCGAGCTTGACAATCGAGCTACCTCCGCGAGTCGATTCGCAGCTCTTTGATTTCCTCGAGCGAACAAAAAATCTTTCCAAGCTGGCAGGCCGGATTACCCTTCGGCACCGCATCCCCCGACACAAGATGGACGAAGCGGAATCTTCTCTCTGGACAGTCGAGTCCTTTTATCCAAGGGACCCCAAAGTGACCCATATGCTTCTATTGTCTCCACAAGCCGAGCTAGCGCCGTCCTTCTATCATTACTTGAAGTACACCATCTTGCACTATAAGCAGTCCGCGAGTGCCAAGCAGTCGTCATTGAACCTGCTCGGCATTTCCCTCGAATTGCCAGCCTCCAAACCCACCGCTGATGCTGAGCGATTCAACCCACCGTCAGCCCCAATCGTGAACGAAGCGAGACGTGAAGAAGAGCTGCTCCCCTCGTTTCTTTGGCAAGCACCAAATAGCAATGCCGCGTTGTACTTTGGCGACAAATGGGCCGAGTTCCATACCTTTCTCTCCAATCGGTTGGAAGTTGCCGAAAGCCAGCCTACTGCTGCTGCACAGAACAAATTGGTCTCGAAACGATACCCAGCATTTATGGAGTACTTGCTTGAAATGATGCATGCGAGGGGCTACTATATGCTCTATCCCTCATTCCCGGGGCTAAGAGCATCGTCTTTGGCAACCGTGCACAATGAGCTGTATCAGCCACCCGAGGAATTTTTCCATGACAGTGCCACTCGATCTGTCCAGGATATTGATGACCCCAAACAACCTTTGAAGGCCTTGACTCTGGGCTCTGTTGAAATGCCGCTGGATCGCAAGTCAACCATCATGCCTCTTCTCGAGCAGTTTTCTGTGGATCTTCCTCCTGTTGAATCTCTACCGTTGCTTTCTTATAACGGAGAAGTTCTAAATCCCAGGACCTTGTCACAGCACACGGAGGACTATGCCACCAAGTTTCGAGTGAAGTATGGAGGCTGCTCCGAGGATGCGACGAGCGACGAGCCCTCGGGCGATCTGTTCTGCCTGGCGGATGATTTCACATAAATTCTGATTTCTTCGATTCGTCTTTTCCTGGAATAATCATAACTAGAAGGAACGCTATAAACCCATCATTCCGATAGGATGAATACTATGAACACATCGTAGATGTCCATGGAAAGGCATCCAACCAATGACGAAGTCTTGGCGGTGCTGACATAACAATCCGGGAGGAGCTCACAGTCCACCAGCTCTGCGTTGCTTCCGCATCACCAGCTAATCAATCCACCTGCATCTGCTGTGTCCGCGCAGCTTTCCATCTCTTGTCCGCTTGTACCATCGCTGTTTTTCTTTTCGACGATCTTTCTTAATCTCATTCCCTCGATTTATCCCAGACCTGGTCGCCAGCTACCCGTCAGAAATGGCGAACGAGGGCGAGCGGTCAACCTCCGCCGACAAGGGCAAGGGCAAGGTTGATGATGTCCGCGAGTTGAATGGCAAGAAATCTCACACCGACGAGAAGGCAACAGCAGAGGGAAAGAAGAAGGATGAGGAACCGCAAGAAGGTAGGTCGCGACGGTCTTCGGGACAGGTGCTAGCTGGAACGGAGCACACGCCCCCTGTCATCGGCCAACGGGTCCAGAAGCTGACAGGATGGCTTGTTACAGAAGAGCTCAGTGAAGAGGATCAGCAATTGAAGAATGAGCTTGAGATGCTTGTGGAGCGGTTAAAGGTAGGGTCATCTTGTCCACAGCCGGTAGCGGTAAGGAATAGTGACGTTAATGTTCGATTCTTTACCAACAACAGGAATCGGACACTTCTCTTTACGGGCCCGCCTTGGACGCGATCAAGAACTTCATCAAGACCTCGACTTCCTCCATGACCGCCGTTCCGAAGCCACTCAAGTTCCTCCGACCGCACTATGATGATCTGACAGCGCTGTACGAGGAGTGGGCAGCAGGCCCGGTGAAGGTTGGTTTCTCCTCCCAGTTCTCAAGCTCGAGTCTGACTTTCTATCTCTCTAGGATTCCTTGGCCGATATGCTCTCCGTCCTGGGTATGACCTATGGGGATGAAGAGAAGCTGGAGACAATCAAGTACCGCCTGTTGGCTAAGTCGGAAGACCTGGGTTCATGGGGCCACGAATACGTCAGACATCTGGCGCTGGAGATTGGAAAGGAATACCAGAACCGCTTGAACGCGGAGAACGACACTCAAGATCTGGTGGACCTTGCCTTGTCGCTGGTTCCCTACTTCCTGCGCCACAATGCCGAAGCCGATGCTGTCGATCTTCTCAGTGAACTCGAGATCATCGAGGAAATCCCTCGGTTTGTGGATGAGAACACCTATTCCCGTGTCTGCCTGTACATGGTCAGCATGGTCAACCTCCTCACCTACCCCGAAGATCAGCAGTTCCTGCGGACCGCGCATGAGATCTACGTCCGCTACAACAGGCTCTCGCAGGCAATTGTGCTTGCCATCCGTTTGAATGATGTCGAACTAATCAAGAGTGACATCAACGCGACGACCGACGTGGCTCTCAAGAAGCAGATGGCGTTCCTGGTCGCTCGGCAGCAGATCTGGCTTGATTTGCCCGCCGAGGACGAGGAAGGGGAGGCTTTGAATGACTGCCTGAACAACACATCTATCCCCAAGCACTTCAAGTCTCTTGGAAAGGAGTTGAATATCTTGGACCCAAAGATGCCCGAGGATATTTACAAGACACATCTGGAGAGCAGCCGGGGAGCGGGATTGACCAATCTCGACTCGGCTCGACACAACCTGGCTAGTGCCTTTGTCAACTCCTTTGCCAACGCCGGCTTTGGCAACGATAAGATGATGCTTGTTGAGGGTGATAAGGGCACATGGGTGTGGAAGACAAAGGACGATGGTATGCTGTCGACGACCGCGTCCCTGGGTATGCTTCTGCACCGGGATGTGGAAGATGGCTTGGACAAGATCGACAAGTTCACCTACGCGTCGGAGGATCAGGTCAAGGCCGGTGCACTCCTTGCCATCGGTATCCTCAACTCTGGTGTTCGGCTCGACTCCGACCCTGCCCTCGCCCTGTTGAGTGATACGGACAACCTGGAAGCGAAGAATGTGCCCATGCGGGTGGCTTCGATTATGGGACTGGGCTTGGCTTATGCTGGGTCGAACAAGGAGGAACTTCTTGAGATTCTACTTCCCATAGTGGAGGACTCCTCGCTAGACATGCAGCTGTCTGCCATGGCCGCGGTCTCACTGGGTCTTGTTTTTGTTGGGTCGTCGAATCACCAAGTCAGCGAGGCGATCGCTACAACCCTCATGGATGAGGAACGTCAGAAGCAGCTCAAGGACAAGTGGACGCGGTTCATGGCCCTTGGTCTGGCGCTCCTATACTTTGGCCGACAGGAAGAAGTCGACGTCATTCTCGACATCCTCAAGGCGGTCGACCACCCCATGGCTAAGCCCACATCCGTCTTGGCCTCGGTCTGCGCGTGGGCTGGCACTGGTACGGTACTGAAGTTGCAGGAGCTTCTCCACATCTGCAACGACATCATCGAGGAGAAGGAAGAGAACAAGGGCGACGAACTTGTCCAGTCATATGCTGTGCTCGGTTTGTCCCTGATTGCCATGGGTGAAGATGTTGGTCAGGACATGATCCTGCGCCAGTTTGGCCATCTCATGCACTACGGCTCGAGTAACATCCGCCGCGCTGTGCCGCTGGCCATGGGGTTGATCAGTCCCAGCAACCCTCAGATGAAGGTTTATGATACCTTGTCGCGGTACAGTCACGACAACGACAACGATGTCGCCATCAATGCCATCTTCGCCATGGGTCTCTGCGGTGCGGGCACCAACAACGCCCGCCTGGCCCAACTCCTGCGACAACTGGCCAGCTACTACCACCGCGACCAGAACTCGTTGTTCATGGTCCGCATTGCCCAGGGTCTCCTCCACATGGGCAAGGGTACCATGACGCTCAACCCCTTCCACACCGACCGCCAGGTGCTCTCTCGAGTTTCGGCTGCCGGTCTTCTCACCGTGCTGGTGTCCCTGATCGATGCTAAGCAATTCATCCTCGCCGAACACCACTACCTTCTCTACTTCCTCATTACTGCCATGTTCCCGCGGTTCCTCGTTACTCTTGATGAGGATCTGCAACCTCTCACCGTCAATGTCCGCGTGGGTCAGGCCGTGGACGTGGTCGGCCAGGCTGGTCGCCCCAAGACCATTACTGGGTGGCAGACACAGAGCACGCCGGTGCTGCTGTCGTACGGTGAGAGGGCTGAGTTGGAGGATGAGCAGTATATCCCTCTCAGCAGCATCCTGGAAGGCTTGGTTATTTTGCGCAAGGTAAGCCCATTTTCTTCTTCGTGTTATTGATCTCTCTTGCTAACGATGAACGTAGAATCCGGACTATGAAGCTCCCGAGTAGTTCATGATAGATGCTATCCCGGTCCACATGCGGTCTTATAGTGGTCGGGGTATTGTTGGATCTAATGTATTCAGAACGACTCAGAAATAGCATGCAAATTTTATTCTCTCTCTATAGATTCTTCACCGTACTGTAGTCCATGTCCTACGATCAGATCCCAAATAGGCAGTAGGGCTTAGGGCTCGGCCGTTATCGCGATTTTCTCTCCGCCGGCGCTTCCATCGATAACCCCCAAGGTTTGAAAAAGATCATCTCTCCCACTTTTCCTGCCGTATTTTCAACCGCAATGAAGCTCGACGCAAAAGCGATTCGTTACCTGACCTCGGAGGATTTCCGGGTGCTTGCAGGGGTATGTACCCGCCCCTCCTTCGGCCAAAGACATCACGACTCACGCATGAGACTAGGTGGAAGCTGGCAGTCGCAACCACGAAGTGGTTCCAACGCCGCTGATCGTGCAACTCTCCGGCCTGCGAGGCGGTAGCGGTGTGCATCGGTCGATCTCAGTTCTGGCGAAGACGAACCTGATCGCCAAGGTGAAGAATGCGAAATGTACGTTCGACAGGGAAACTCTCGATCTACCCAGCTGCTGACCCTCCATCGTTCTCGCGCAGATGATGGCTACCGGCTCGCCTACGGCGGACTCGACTACCTCGCGCTAAATGCGCACCAGAAACAAAAATGCATCTACTCAGTCGGCAACCAGATCGGCGTGGGCAAGGAATCCGACATCGTGGTCGTAGCTCACAGCAGCGGCGCCCAACGAATTCTCAAAATCCACCGTCTCGGCCGCATCTCGTTCCGAACCGTCAAGACGAATCGCGACTACCTGCGCCACCGCAACACGGGCTCGTGGATGTACATGTCTCGCCTGGCGGCGATGAAAGAGTTTGCGTTTATGAAAGCGCTGCGCGAGAACGGATTCTCCGTGCCCGAGCCCATTGCCCAAAATCGGCATACCATTGTCATGAGTCTGATTGATGCTTTCCCGCTCCGTCAAATATCCAAGGTCCCTCGGCCCGCGGAGCTGTACTCGGAGTTGATGGACATTATTCTGGAGTTGGCGCGGTTCGGCCTGATTCATGGTGACTTTAACGAGTTCAATATCCTGATTAAGGAAGAGGAGGATCCGGATGCGAAGGGAAAAGCACCTGCGAACGCGGATGACGAGAACGATGAGAATATTCGGCTTGTGCCTGTGCTTATTGATTTCCCGCAGATGGTGTCCATCGACCACGCCAATGCGGAGATGTACTTCGATCGGGATGTCAACTGCATCAAGAAGTACTTCCAGCGCAAGTTCCACTTTGTCAGTGATGTTCCGGGACCGTCCTTTGCCGATGCGAAGAAGAATATGCTCAAGAATCCGGGGAAGCGGTTGGATGTGGAAGTGGAGGCATCTGGTTTCTCGAGGAAGATGGCCCGCGAGCTGGAAGCGTACATGAAGGAGGTTGGGGTCGACGGAGATGCGGGTGCGTCTCGAGATGAAGATGATGATGAAGATGAAGATGATGAGGAGGAAGAGGAGGGTTCTGAGGAGGAACACGGTGATGATGGACAGCCGGAGGAGGAAACGGGGCACTCGGATAGCCTTGACGACAACTCCCGGCGATTGGAGGAGCTGCGAGTTTGAGGAAAAGGGCGGTAGAGGGATTTCCGTTTATTTCTAATGACCGTGCATGACAATTAGAGTGTAATATACTTCATACCTCCAGTAACAATTATCTTTTGTTCTTCGGGAAGCCTATAGATCTACGGCGGGCGGAGCGGCCACTAGCGCAGTTTGTTGGCTCTTGTTCATCCCGAGTCGTCGCCCCGACATTCATCCCCATCACCCGCCATCATGGAGCGCCAGGCCGCAAATCTCGGAGCGCTTGCTGGGCGAGCAACATGGGGACGCAAGAAGGTGTACCTGTACGTCAAATCCCCAATTCCTCTCACCGAACTGCCTTAGGCGGAGGCAGACAAAAAAAAAAAACCTGGACGATGTACCGTTGCCTCCAATGAGTCGCACACATACCACATCAATTCCATCCAATCCAGCAAGAATTCCTAAATAACTAACCCCAATGTCCCACAGACCTAGCTTCGTCGTCGCCCTCGTCCGAACCCCCAATCTCTCCCCCCAATACGCCCAGTTCCGCGTCCCGCTCAGCTTCAACAAACTCGATCTGCGCGACTACCTCAAGAACGTCTACGGCGTCGGCGTCCGCAGTATCCGCAGCTATGTCGAGATGCAGCCTGTTACCCGTGTCACGCGCGACGGAAAAGGCCGCGGTCCCATCCGCCGTCCTAAATCCGAGAAGCGCATGACGGTTGAGTTGGTCGAGCCGTTTGTTTGGCCTGCGGAGCCGAAGGATTTGACCCTGTATGTTCTTATGTCCTCTTTTGTTGGGGGCATTGGAGGGGAGGGACATTTGATTGATTCCTTCCCTCCATATTCCTCCCAAGTCTCCTCCAAGCGCCTGGCTGACCACCTCAAACAAACAGATGGGAAAAAGAATCCTGGGACGCAAATGAAGTACACGCAAAGGAAGCGTCCGAAGCCCCGCACGGCCCAACGGACTTTGCAGAGAAACCCAACGAGAAAGAGCGCAAGGCCTACGCAGAACAGGCGAAGGAGATTCTAGCCGATCCGGAGTCGTGGCGGCCGACATGGAAGGCGCTTGGTATGGACTTTGCGAATCAGGGTATGCTGAAGCCGATTTCGCGGCTTGGGAAGCAGGTGAAGAAGGCGGATGAGAGTGGGGAGGCTGGCAGGTAGGCGAGGGAGTTGGTGGCTATGATCAGTCTTGAGATGTTTTGTCGGACGGTGTGCTACTGCACGCTGTGTATTTCTTTTGTTTTCTTGCCCGGCGTTTTGCATTTGATGGAGATCTTCCTACCTCTGAGATCATGCTCGATCTTTTACCCTTTCTTGTACTATATCTGATTGCGAACGAGATTTTATATCAATTCAATCATCTTCTCGCAACTGTTTGACAGCACTTCTATGTCTTGAAAAACCTGTTGAGAATATTGTATATTGAACGTTGAGATATAGACAGGACCTATTGAACTGGACAAAACATCACCGCAGCCAAAAGAACGAATAATTACAACTAATCAGATTCGGCCAATGAGCCGAATGGGGTAGAGGGAAGGTCACGCTATGCAAAGACACGAAAGAAACGATTGGAGCAGTTGGGAGGAGCACGGAACAACAGTCCAGTAAAATGTGCAGAGAGAACCAGGCTTAGGAGTTGGACTAGTCCGGAAGACTATAGCCGGCTCTCCACAAAGTTGATGTGCTGGCCTGGCCAGTGTGCATCTGGCCAGATCTGGCGGAGTGCTTCCCAGATGTGCCTGTAGTGACTAAAGTCAGACGATGAAATCGAGCGAGATACAGAGGGGTGAAACTTACTGCACGTAGATAATCTCCAGGCCGTCCTTGACTTCCTGTGGGATATCCTTGACATCCTTGCGGTTGTGCTGTGGGAGAAGCACGGTCTTGACGCCTGCGCGCAAGGCACCGATCAGCTTCTCCTTGATGCCGCCGACGGGCATGACGCGGCCACGCAGCGAGACCTCGCCCGTCATGGCAATCTGGGGCGGCACGGGTTTATTGCTGAACAAGGAGATCAATGCAACGGTGTGGGCGAGGCCAGCTGAGGGGCCATCTTTGGGGATCGCGCCGGAGGGGCAGTGGACGTGCAAGCTGCGGCTTTTCATGATGTCCTCGTTGGGGTCGTGGGTGAGGCCCAGCTCGAAGGAGTGGGCTTTGACCCAGGTGAGAGCCACCTCCACAGATTCCTTCAGCACATCGCCCAGCTTTCCGGTCAGCTGCACGCGTCCGTTGCCGGGCATGTCGGCTACCTCGATGAACAAAATGCTGCCCTGGCCGCCAGTGGAGTATGCGACGAGACCCGTCACCACGCCAGGACGGCCGTGCTTCTCGGCGATCTCTTCTTCAAAGCGTTCGATGCCCAGGATGTCTTCCAGATCGTCGACCGTGACGACGGGGTTATAATCTTCCAGGCGATTGGCGTCCCCGGCGTCGGCGTATTGGACTGCCTTGTGGCGGCAGATCGAGCCGATCTCGCGCTCCAGGTTGCGGACACCGGATTCGCGAGTGTAGGAGGTGATTGTCTTGTCGATTACTTCGTCCGAAAGATCGACCTGCCCGGCGGAGAGACCGTTGGATTGAATTTGCTTAGGGATGAGGTGTCGCTTGGCGATGTGCCTCTTCTCAACAGTCGTATATCCGGAGAGAGAGATAGTTTCCATGCGATCAAGCAAGGGTGGCGGGATCGTATCCAGCGAGTTGGCAGTAGCGATAAAAAGCACCTTGCTCAAATCGATCGGAATGTTAATGTAATGGTCTGTGAAGGAGTTGTTCTGCTCTGGGTCCAAAACCTCCAGCATGGCGGCAGACGGGTCGCCCTGGAAGTTGGAACCGCCGACCTTGTCGATCTCATCCAGCAGGAATACGGGGTTGGCCACGCCAACTTTCTTCAGGCCGTTGACGATCAGGCCTGGCATGGCCGCAACATAGGTCCGTCGGTGGCCCCGGATTTCCGCCTCATCGCGAACACCACCGAGCGAGATGCGGTGGAATTTGCGTCCCAGCGACGCAGCCACAGACCGCGCCAGACTGGTTTTACCAGTGCCAGGCGGACCGGCCAGGAGCAAGATGGGAGACTTGTCGGTCATGCGCTTGGACTTCAAGAGCTCGAGTTTTGTCTCCAGAGCAACACGGTCAGCTTCCGACATCATAGGAACATCCTTCTCAACGTCACCGGCCGTTGAGGAATCCAGGTCCTTCGTCAGTCCATCAATTTGGCGCTCGACGTCCTGGTTGGTCGACTGTTTCAGACGCAGCACGGCAAGGTACTCCAGCAGCCTCTTCTTGATCCGCTCCAGTCCGTAGTGGTCATCGTCGAGCTGCTTGCGGGCTCTCTTAAGCGTGTCCGGTCCCAGTTGATCTTCTGTCACCTTGGTCCATGGGATCTCTGCCAGGTTCTCCAGGTACGTGCGACAGACTCCGTATTCGGCGTTGGCCGGGTTCATCTTGCGCAGACGCTTCATTTCCTTATCCGCAACCTTGCGAGCCTCGGGGCTGAGCTGCGCTTCCTCGAGCTTCTGCTGGAGCTCATCCACCTCGTTCGGCTCCTTCTCTTCGTTATCGCCACCACGTGAGCCTGCAGTTCCCGGGGGTGCGAGGCCAGAGAGGCCCGACACGGCACGCCTTGCTAGCAGTTCACGCTCGCGTGGGTCGATCTGACCAATATCGGTATTCTGAGGGAAGGAGGAGCTGCTAATGGTTGTGACTTTGACGCTGCTCTTGATGTGCTGCGCTTGCCTGGTCAGGATCTCGACGACCCTCTCCAGTCGCTCTTTAACATCGAACGAAGCCAAGATCTGTAGTTTCTCTTCAAAGCTGGCATCGGACACATCGGCCATAAAGTCGGCCAATCTACCAGCCTGTGACAATTCGGTCTTGGAAATATACAGTTCGAATTTGCGCGCCACGAGTGGCGACAAGCGGCTCGAGGCCGCCGACAAAAGTGAAGACAGGCGCAACAGAGTCAGAAGTTCTCGAGAGAGCTGTCTCAACTGTTGGAACAGTTCGGTGACTTCCGGATCGCCCTGCGCGGGGGCTGTTGGTGCAAAAGAACATCGTCAGACTCCTCGAATCATCCACTTTTTGTTGGGGAGGAAGGATATACATACCAATCTCATCATGGATAAGCACTTCAGCCTCAAAGTATGGCCGATCTTTCAGGACCCGCTTGACTGTAAACCGCTGCGCACCTTGGACGAGGAGGAACGGCTCGGCATAAGCGCGGCGCTGAACCCCGATCACTTTGCCGATGGTCCCGTGGCGGAAGAGATCGTCCTTTCTCGCCTGGCCCGCATCGATTGCATCCCATTCCTCGCGCCGAGTCTCGTCCGTGTCGCTGCCCTCCAGCAGTTGCTGGCCATCCCGGCTCAAGAACGGCGAGCTCAGCGGGATGCAGCCGAAGGTGATGGAACTTCCATCGCGCTTGGGCCGGTCGACCAGTGATGACAGAAGATTGGCGAGATCGGGGCGGTTGGAGACGGGGATGCGAAGCGTCACGCCGGGCAGTAGGACAGAGCCCTTGGCCAGCGGGACGAGAGGGAGCTTGGTGGCTCGGCCGTTGTTGGACCCCATCGAGGAGGTTGGAAGGGGGATGAATATAGAAAGAGTATGGGATGTATGGGAATAAGAATGTCAAGAAGAGGAGAAGAAGAAGAAGAAGAAGATGATGAAGAGTAGGTTCCAGAAGCGATGGTCGGTCCGGGGGTGGATAAGAGTCAGGTGCTCGTCATTCCCCGGAGCCGAGGCTAGTACAACTTACGTAGTGGCGACGATCCAAGCCGAACCCAGAGAGAGATGGTCCCGACACTAGGTGGACTGGGTATACGACTCGGACGACGAAGAATATTGAATTGGCTGAATTGTCCGTCAAAAAGAATACTTCCTATACTTGAAATGTTGTATTAACATCTTGTCGCTGCGCACTCCCGTGACCCGCCATTATTTACGGATCTTTGCCACTGATCGGAGAGGAGCGTTTCTTCTTCCACTTCTTTCCTCCCTCCCTTCCGCCCTTCCCCCCTCCCCGCATCATGGCCGCACCGCCCACCACTTCCTTCACCATTGGCACCCGCGCGTCCAAGCTGGCCCTGGTCCAGACGGACGCGGTGAAAGATGCCCTCAAGGCGGCCTTCCCCCACTATGACTTCCGCGTCTTCTCCAAGGAGACCGCCGGCGACCTGAGCATGATTGCGCTGCGCGAATTCACCTCCAAGAACCTGTGGACCGAGGAATTGGAGGAATTGATGATGGCCGGCCAGGTCGACTTCATCGTGCATTCATTGAAAGGTTCGTTCGCCAGATTCCCCATTTGGGTCATTTTCTTCAAATCAAGCTCACCTGTCGCAAACCCCAGATGTCCCCACCAACCTCCCTCCCTCCTGCACCCTCGGTCCGATGATGCCGCGCGAAGACAGCAGAGACGTTCTCGTGGTCAAGCAAGGGCTGCCCTACAAGAGTCTATCGGAGATCCCCGCCGGCTCGGTGGTCGGCACCTCGTCCATCCGGCGCACGGCGCAATTGGCGCGCAATTACCCTCATCTGAAGGTGCAAGATGTCCGCGGCAATATCAATACTCGTCTCGCCAAGCTGGATGCGGATGATAGTCCCTACACTTGCATCATTCTGGCGGCGGCTGGTCTGCTGCGCGTTGATCTGGGGGATCGTATCACGCAATACCTTGACTCGAAGAACGGCGGCATGCTTTACGCGGTTGGACAGGGTGCTCTTGGGATTGAGATCCGCAAGGATGACCATGCTCTGCGAGAGATTCTGGCCAAGATTGAAGATCGGGATACGACGCTTGCTTGTTTGGCGGAGCGCAGTCTGCTGCGCACCCTGGAGGGTGGCTGCAGTGCTCCGCTGGGAGTTGAGACGGAGTGGGAGCAAAGCTCCGAGGGGCCCCGGCGGTTGAGGATGAGGGCAATCGTGGTCAGCGTGGACGGCAAGGAATCTGCCGAGATAGAGTTGTCTGGCGAGGTCGATTCGCCCGACACCGCCGAGGCTCATGGTGTCGCTGTCGCCCAGGCTTTGGTGGACGGGGGCGCCGGTAAGATCCTTGAAGCTATTCAGCAGAAAAAAGTAGCCAAAGAGGCCGTCTCTGTTTAAAATCGACTTGAAACAATGATTCTTGGGCCCTATAACTAGGCGTATACCCAATGAGACAAAAAAGCATTTCATGATATCTCTTCTTTGATCATCTTCTCTATATTCTGACAGAAATGGCCTGGATTGAACCCCCAAGACAGTCAGATCAACCCCGATTTAATGTATTTCCAGCTCCCCGTGGATTGGCCTCCTTGAACTCATCCCACTCCCGCGCCTTCATCGTTTCCTCGTCGGCTTTGTCCAGGTCATCCTCGTCCACCTCGGGTGGTATCCCCGACTGCTCTCCTCCGCCCTCGATAAAATTGCCGCGTCGATGTTCCTCCTCCAGATATTCGTCAATTGTCATCGTCGGGAGGTTGTGACCGGACCGAAACACTCCTTGCTGTAGCTGGGAGCGCTTGTCCAGCAAGGTGAACGGCTGCATCGGCCTTCCTTTCGTGTTCAACAACGGGCCTCCTCTCCCTCCTCTCAGTAGTTGTGACACAGATGGATCCAACCGATCAGAGTAATTCTCTCCTCCCAAATTGCTCCGCTCTCTTGCGTCGTCGTCCATCGGTTGGGTGGGTGGTGGCGCATGGCGCATGGCGGCGAGGATCGACAATTCTTGCACCAGGAGATCCATGGCTTGAAATGTCTGATGTGTATAGAGCTGGATTTCGGCCAAGTAGAGTCTCCGGGTATCGTCGTCGTCACTCTGGAGTCGAGCTTCGTTCCGAGAAAGGTACTGTCAAACACATACAAGAATGAGAATTTGTCGCCATGGTTCAAACCGGCAGAACGTCAACGAACCTCAAGTTTCTGTTTCAGCTCTTTCTCCTCCCTGAATCGCGTTACTTTGATGTCCCGCCGCGCCGCCGCATCATTCACCGGAGCCAATGTAAAGGACGATGGGTTGGCCAGGTACTGGTCGAAGAGTTTCTTATCTCCACCCGACAGGAGACCGTACTCGGCCACCCGCGAGAGGAAGTTCTCGTATTGTTCTAGTGCATTTCGAAGGACTGATTCGCGGTCTGAGCTGGGTGCTCGCTGCATCAGTTCGGCCAGGTGGTATTCTAGCGTCAGGTACCTAGAAAGAGCAGTGTCAGCGCAAACCCGCAAGAAGCCTCAGCTGGGATGGGGAGGCGTACGGGATATCCCCCGTGGAGACATCATCGAGAGACTCGTTGGAACTGAACAATGAGAGAATGCCAACTTGGCGCTGGCATTCTCGGAACTTGGCGATGGTGGAGCTGACGTCGTCGCGATACGTGTCAGTGTTAGTATCACCGCGCGATGCCAGAGCGGTCTTATTGTCCTTGGCGGTTGCAAACAGCGCCCGTAGGCTTTGGGGTTCTTCCATTGTGGTTTTGTCGAGGAAAAAGAGAGACTGGGCCTGGCCCCGCGATGGATGGAGATTTGAGCGATAAGATACGGCAGCTCCATCTTATCAACCCAAAGAAAGTATACATCGGGGTAGTGAAGGCATGGTATGATGACATGTCTTGTCTCGTCAATGCTTGGTTATCGGAGTAGATCTTCAGTTTGCTATATCTATTGAATGCCAGGCAGTGGTCGCAAAACAAAGCCGTGGGGCCTTATATATTTCTGTTTGCTACTTCCTTCCGTCCCTCTTCCTCCGTGTCCTGTCGTTAAGCATTACTCGCCTCTTTCTATTTTCTCTGCGGTTGTTCCTTCATCTCGTTCATCGCCAATCCTAACAATTCCCAACAGGAAGCAGTCCACCTCACCCACATGGAGCTCGTGCCTGAGATCGATGATCCGGGGGCCGTCTCTGGAGATGAGTCCAACGACGAGAACGAGAAGTCAGAGGCTCATCTGCAGGCTTCGATTCGCCGCCAGACACACAAGGTCCAGTTTCAGGCCCTGTAAGTCACATTCTCGTCATTTTACTCTGCCTTGTCTGACAGTGGAGAAGACTTGAAAAACATGCCAACTCTGAGTTCACCGACGACACCCCTGCTGCTGCTCGGCCAGACCGACCAGATGCAGAGCTGTCCATCAAGGACCTGGTTGCTAGGAAAGATGGCGGAGGGGGCATTCTGGATCCCCGCGAATACCAATTTAAGCTGTTTGAAAGAGCAAAGGCCCAGAACACGATCGCGGTGCTTGATAGTGGTAGTTCCCATATCTCTGGCACATTGGACGGGCTGTTGACTTGACACCTACACAGGTACTGGGAAGACTTTAATTGCAGTGCTTCTGCTTAAGCATACCATCCAAGAAGAGCTTGTGAACCGTGCTAATGGAATGCCTCCTCGGATGTCTTTCTTCTTGGTAGGTCGTTATTTCTTTGGACGACTATTTGGCAGTTGCTAAGATAGAACCCATTCAGGTCGACAGTGTGACCCTAGTGTTCCAGCAGTCAACGGTGCTGCGCAACAACATAGATCAGAATGTGGCCAATTTCTTTGGGGCCATGGGAACAGACCTCTGGGACCAACCGATCTGGGACGAACAGCTCAAAGAGAACATGGTGATAGTATGCACAGCAGAGATTCTGTGCCATAGCCTTCACAATGCATTTATCAAGATGGATCAGATCAATCTTTTGGTCTTCGATGAGGCCCACCACACGAAGAAGGAACACCCTTATGCACGGTTTGTATCTTTTCTCTCCGGATGAAATGGACACCTAATGAGCTGACGCAAAAATAGAATTATTCGGGAATTCTACCTCACGGCAGACCCCTCAAAGCGGCCGAAGATCCTTGGGATGACGGCATCGCCAATTGATGGCAAAGGTGATATCCTCATAGCAGCAACGTAGGGCACTCGTTTAGACACATTGATCAGATACTGAACGTGCATAGGAGGCTTGAGACACTTCTGGATAGCCAGATAGCAACAACGTCGAAAATGACCCTTCTGCGTCAGATCGTCAAGAAACCAAACGAGGTGTTGTGGCCCTACGAGACACCTCAGCCACCCCGTGCAACTGAACTGCTCAAGATTATGGTGAAGCAGTTCGGAGACGTTCAGATCCTCGAACGCGTTTTTCGTTGGGTCTTGGACGCTACCTCAGAGCTTGGACCGTGGTGTGCCGATCAAGTATGGACTCATGTTTTGGCCGACGACGTGCTGCCTCAGCTCGAAGGACGTCTCAGCAAAGAGTCTGACCCCAGGGCTCAAGATCTAGTAAGTGCGGCAGAAAGTACAGGAAGAGACATCCAACGGATCAAAGAAGCCAGCGAGTTTGTGAAACTGTACCCTTTCGTGGACCCCTTGTCGCCAAACCAGCTGAGCCCCAAGGTTCACCTCCTCTTCAGGAAATTGGCAGAGCACTTTGCGGAATCAGCAGAAACAAAATGTATTGTTTTCACGACTCAGCGTAGTACGGCAAGAACACTCATGCAGCTTTGCCAGAAACTGGAAATCCCAAACACCCGTCCAGGTATTCTCGTCGGGGTCCGAAGAGGCGATATACTGGCCATGAGGAGCACCTTCCGCAATCAATTTATGGCCTTGCTCAAGTTTCGCCAAGGTGAACTTAATTGCTTGGTAAGTCTAACGACCCCTAGGATCAAGGTCAGTCAACGTCTAATCTATTACAGTTTGCAACTTCGGTGGCTGAAGAAGGCCTCGATATCCCAGATTGCAATCTTGTTGTCAGGTATGCAAGCATGCTTTCATAAAGTATTTTCTCGCTGATAAACGAAGATTTGATCTCTACAAGACGCTCATTCAGTACGTACAGAGCCGCGGGCGTGCGAGGCATGCCGACTCGACCGTGAGTATGATTTTTCTAGAGCCATATTGCTTGCTAGCTGATACATTACAGTACGCACTCATGATAGAGAGAGAAAATGAGGACCACAGAATACAGTTGCAAGAGGTTCACATGGCGGAGGTATTCACGAGTCAATCAATATCAGAGCTTGACTGACACGGTCTGTCTAGCTTCTCATGAAGAACTTTTGCGAGACTCTTCCCAAGGACCGGTTATTGCAGGGATACGACCATGATCTCAAGTCTGTCATCAAAGATGAAAAGCAAAGGACCTACACCATTCCCTCCACCAAGGCGAAGTTGACATACCGTCATGCTATTCACATCCTTGATCGCTACGCCACTTCACTGGTAAGTGTGATCAAAGCCCCGAGGACCCAACTAAAGCTAACATCAGAATACAAGCAATGGGAGAACGACAGTTCTGCCCACGTCAGCTATCATGTCAGATCAGTGGACCAAAAGTTCACTTGTGAAGTCATTCTTCCCGAGAAGTCACCAATCCGTGGATTGGTTGGGGAACCAGCCTCTAGAAAGTCAACTGCTAAACAGGCAGCTGCATTTGATGCTTGCTTATTGCTTCGGAGGAACAATCTTCTGGACGACCATTTCAGGTCCATCTACCATAGACGTCTTCCTGCAATGCGCAATGCTCGCTTGGCCATCACATCGAAGAAGACGGACCAGTACGATAGGATCTGCAAGCCATCTATTTGGGCAGAGCAGCTAGGAACTGTCCCGAGTTTGCTATATGGGACGGTTATTACCTTCGACCCATCGGTGCCTCTGACACGAAGTCATGGGGAAATCGTACTCTTGACCCGAAAGCGGCTTCCAGTCTTCCCCACATTTCCTGTCTACCTGGACAACGACATCGAAACTGTCATACGCACCACGTGCGTGAAATCTGCTTTCTCGGTTACATCACCGGAATTGGAATGCCTGACTACCTTCACACTCTCTGTTTTTCATGACTTGTTCCACAAGACATATGAGCGTGAAATCGAGAAATTGCCGTATTGGATTGCACCAGCCAAGGGCAACATTATGGCGAAAGACATTTCCAGCTTGCCGGGAGTAATTGCCTGGGATGCAATGAAAGACGTTCAGGAACACCAAGAGTGGTACTGGTCGGCCGATATGAGCCCTGAATCTTTGTTGGATCGGTTCTTTTACGATCACTGGGATGGGAGGTGCCGATACTTCCCAGTTGCTGTCGACCATGATTTACGACCAACTGACCCTCCTCCATCCTGTGTGCCCCGCAGGAGCAA